CAACGACAACAAAATCAACAAAACAGGAACAACAACAACATCAACAACAACATTAGCAGCAACAACAACATCAGCAGCAGCAACAACATCATCATCAGCAGCAGCAACAACAACAACATCAGCAATAACAACAACATCAACAACAACATCAGCAGCCAAGCTCCATATTGTTTCAGCTAAGTGGCAATAATGGATATTTTGATTGTGTGCAAATGCACCTTCATTATATAAAATATGTATGTATGTATGTGTGTGTGTATATATGTTTGTATGTATGTTTGTTTGTATGTATGTTTTTTTGTATGTATGTATGCATGTACGTGTGTTTGTACGTTTTCTTGTATGTGTGTGTCTGTGTATATGCCGAAAAACGTACGTGCATACTTTAAAATGTCAATGAAGGTTTGTGAATTTAGTCATTTAATAATAATATAAAAAAATAATAATAATTAACTATAATTATAATAATACTAAATATAAAAATAATAATCATCACTATCATTATCACCATCGTCAGCGACTTAACGAGCAGCCGGCGACAACTCTGGACCCACTTACATACAGTTACGAATCGCTTTACAACGGCTAACCACTGCAGCGGCTGCAGTAACAGCAACAACAATAACATCAACAACAACAATAATAACACTAATCACAAACAACTCCATTAGTTTCACTTAAATCTCTACTTGTTACTTCTGGTAGTACTGTAACATTATTAACATCTTTTACTGCAACTATTGTTGTTGCTACTACTACTACTACCGCTAGTACTGCTACTGCTGCTGCTACTACTACAACTATTACCACAATACTACTAACGCCAATCAAAAGGTAACAACAAAATTAGTTGTTGTTAACTAATTATTACAATTGCCTGCGCTTTGGTTACCGTTGTTTAAGCAGCAACATTCTGTGTGAAAGTGAGGCCAGTGTGGTTGCTGCCTGCAACAGCAACAACAGCAGCAGCAACAACTTCATGACGTCATAATCAAACATTGATGACACCATCGTCGCGGTGATCGTCGCGAACATCATTTCAGCATCAACGTCATTTTCGCCATCAGGTTTTATTTCAAAACTATCAACAACTTGAACCTTCACAAACAAAAATAGAAAAAATAAAAGAGAGAAAGAGAGAGAAAAAAAGAAATAAAGAGAGAGAAAGAGAAAGAAAGAAAGAGAGAAAGAAAGAAGAAAAGACAAACAGACAGAAGCAGAGGAAAATAGAAGACATAACAAACGTAAATAAAAATTATGCCGAAACGTACACATACATCGACAAACAAAACAAAACAAAATAAGAAGAGAGAGAGACAGAGAGAGGAGAGAGAGAGAGAGAAAGAGAGAGAGGGAGAGCATGGAACACATAGAATCATAGATACAGAGACAAGAGAATCCTTACTTCCGCAGTTGGCACGTGATCAATATTTTAATGTGCTTCACAATTTTTAATCTTTGGTGCAATATGTCCATGTATTTTCGGTATTTCCTGTATGTATTTGTTTGTATTTCTGTGTAATTGTTTGTTTTGATATGTTTTTCATTTTTTTCACTGCTAAAATAATAACATATAATAATTTAAATTTTTCCTTGCTTCCAATTACGAATTAAACGTTTTTATTGTATTGATTTTGTTGTTATTTCTTTATTTTTTGGCATTTTCCGCTATTTAAGCAGTCTTTTCGTGACTTACTCACTCTGGCTTATAGCTTACACATACGCACGCACGCACGCTCGCACGCACACACACACACACAAGAACAGACGCAACATCAAAATTCAATTACCTATTGATTACTTGAGAAACAAATGAATACGTGACTTAACGACTCTCTCCGACAGACAGATAGAAAAATCAGACAGAATAAACATACCGACCAATCTTACAAACAGTCACTCAACCAGGCAGACAGACGGCCAGACGTACATACATACAGACTCAGACCTACTGACAGTCATCAGCCACTGGCCGTCCCCTCAATGACGTCACAGACCACGTGAGTAACGGAAGTAATATCAACTCTTGGCAAATATAATACACAACTGGCGTATTATTAGATTGCTCTAAAGAGGGCATGTTTATGCGTGTCAACGCATGCTGACTTGACTATTTCATTCCGTATCTTTTGTAATAATTTGCTTTTATTACAAATAAAAATTGCAAGCCAGGCAAAAAATAAAAATTTCCTTGTTGAGAAGTTTGTCAAATTCATAGGCATAGGCAACTGAATTATGTGTTTATCAGTATTTCAATCTCAAATACACCTGCAAAAGATTGTGCATACAAACATACACACAAACATGTTTATACATACAAACATGCATACATACATGCAAATATACAGACATACAAACAGACATACAAGCCAACAACATACAAACTTCTTATAAAGTACGCCAAAAAATGCAAAGTCAAACACTTGAGCTGTCCTAAAGCACTTCAGAAGACGTCATGTGTGATTGGATGGTCGGACGGTCGTGCGGATGAATGAAAGAATGAAAGAAAGAAAGAAAGAAAGAAAGAATGAATGAATGAATGAATGAATGAATGAATGAATGTGGGTATGATTAAATGAATTGATGATTGAATGAATAAATGAATGAATGAACTGATGATTATTAAATGAATGAATGAATAAATGTTCAAATATACGAATGAGCAAACGAAATAATAAACAAAAAACTCGAATGAAACTGCAGATAAAAAAAAAACAACAACACAAAAACAACAACATAAAAACAAAGAAAAAACAACAACAAACATGGCGTCGTGTGACGATCAATTTGCAAATCACGTGATACTTGTTGACATTTTAAGATTCTTTGGTCATATCTCATTTCTTTAATATACACGCACGTATGCACACGTATTTCGCCATTCATCAATTATATCTATGCACTCACTAATTTCTTATTCATCTACCATCCATCTCTCCTTTAATTCATCCCTCTATCCAATCGTCTACCCATTCATTCATTCATTTATTCATTCATCCATTCATCTATCTATTTTTGTATCCTGTTGGCTATCTATTGGTGTATCTTTTCATTATACATTCATTATCTATCTAGATATTTCCAATTAATTCAACTATCCATTCATTCATTTATCTATTCATTCATTCACTTATTAATTCAGTCGTTTATTCATCTCTCCATCCATCCATCCATCCATCCAATCAGCGCTCAGTGCGCTTGCGTGCTTTTCTGACAGACCGGAAGTGACGTGGTGGTTTTTGGCGTCAGGAGGTGATGATTATGATGATAATGGTAATGACGGTAATGATTATATAATAATAATAATAATAATAATAATAATAATAATAATAATAATAATAATAGTAGTAGTAATGGTGATATTAGTTGAACATTATGAAACTGAAAATAACAATAACGACAACGAATATCATGATAATGATGACGTAGAAGGTAGTAATGGTGATGATGATGATGACGATGGTGGTGACGATGATGATGACGATGGTGGTGACGATGATGATGACGATGGTGGTGACGATGATGATGATGACGATAATGATAATGATGACGACGACGACAACGATGATGAAATATTACAATGGCGCAGAGGCAGGCATTATGGCTTAATCTCATGACGATGCTCCCACCATCCAGCTCGCATTGAATTTCTAAACAATTCGACAATGATGACGACGACGACGATGAGGATGATGACGATGAGGATGATGACGATGTGGTGGTAGTGATGATGACGATGAAGATGACGATGATGATGATGGTGGTGGTAGTGATGATGACGATGAAGATAATGATGAAGATGACGATGACGTTCACGATTTTGAATCGACGAGTGATTCGTAATTAAAAAGTTGAGTGAATGATGGAAATATTTTGTCGGTCAATGTCTGATTATTCACAGAAGATGGTGATACTGATATTAAAAGTAATGATGATGATGATGGTGATTATGATGAAGAGGAGGAAGAGAAAGAAGATGATGGCGATGATGATGATGATGATGACGTTTCCTTCTTTCGCATCTTGTGTATGATAGGATTAAGTGCGGTTGACTCAGAAGCCATAAATGGGATTTTGCTTATGTATGCATGAGTGTACGAATTGTATGAATTCATGCATTTGTACATGTAGGTGTGCACATATGTATGTGTGTGTACGTATGCGTGTATATGTATGTATGTATGCATAAATGTTTGTTTGTTTGTATGTATCAATATGTATGGACGTATTTATGTATGTAAGTATGTTCCTACGTATGTATGTGTGTATGTATATTTGTGCGTGTGTGTTTATGCGTGTGTGTTTATGTGTGTGTATATGTGTGTATGTATGCATCTGTATGCATATGACCCCATTTGTAAGCGGAAGAGGTCAATTGTGATGGACAGCTTCACTTACTGGTGTTGAATGGTTGGCTCTGAATTAGTGTGCAGATTAAATTTATTGCTTGATTGATTGGATAGACGGATGAACTGAATTATTATGTGAAAAAATTATGATTGGAGGAATAAATTATAGAAAAAATTATTATTTTTTGGATAGATGGATGGTAAAATTATGGAAATATATGCATGTGTGTTTGCTTGTATTTTTGCTTCTATGTTTACATGTATGTTTGTATGTTCGTAATTGTGTGTGTATAAAGGGATTGAATGAATGCTATCAACTGGATGAATAAATTATTGTAAAATAATTAAATAGATACATAGACTGAATATTATGAAAAAACGAGTAAAATATTAAAAAATAACTTCATGAGAATATAAATAATTAACAATTTCGTACCACCGACTAAACCAAATCATTAAAAATCATTATTTTACAAAAAAAAATGGAGAATATTTTTAAACATCATCGTCCTCATCATCATTTCCATAATCATCGTCATCCCCATAATCATCGTCATCATCATTATCATCATCGTCGTCATCATTATCATCATCGTCGTCATCATCGTCATCCTCATCATAACTACATAGCAATTCTCTCCACTCCGCAGA